ATCGGATCGATATTATCTCTATGCATTAATGAGGGTATGTCGGAATGATTGTACTTGCGTGCCAGTCGTAGTTCAACAGAACAACATTAATTATTCCATTATACACAATTTTCAAGCATCAATAAATCAACTTCTACAATGTCGCTATCCATTCCGCATGGAAGATTATCCGAAAATCATTCAATCAATCTCTGTAGGTGATTACTGAAGACAATACTATCGGATAATCGTGTGCTGACATCAACCAATGCCAAACTAAATCCAAAGAATAGACTAATTTACGTGTACATTAACAAAATGCACTCCAGCTTACAAATACATTAAACTCATAATCATAATAACCATCAAACAACAATCGTTTTATTCTAATAGACAACAGCAAATGTATGCTAGCCACATCAATGATAGCACAAAATAAGAAAGAATGCTTGCAATATAGTTTCGTGGGCGTCGTTTACCTATCTTTAATTTCTATTTTTACTTGAAATACAATGTATAATGATGGATAACCAAACGGAATAGGTCACTTACCAATGGATGTTTTAATAATCGGCTAATAACAACTTGATGATTTTACTGTGACGTAGATTTAATTCTATCAATCCGACTGTGCGCTGCTTATTGCAAACAGGAGCAAGTGGATAAAAAGCGAAGGACAGGTGATATAAAACTCTACTCGGCTAAACAGCTCTATCCAACTGCATATATATATGCTAAATACACGCATTGATCAGCACATCTAAATACTATAACTGGGACTACTAGTAACACCTGATGGTTATCTATAGTACCTTTCCTTAATAAGGAGTACTTTGCAAGTAGTACAATAAAGTACGAAACAGCCAACGAGTTAGTCGTCTGTTTTATTGATTTAGGCATCAAATAAAAATAATAGTATGCATGAATTTAAGTTGTACCATATTGTACCATAGTATTACTGCTGCAGAAGACGATCGACGGAAAAAAATGGTTACTATAGTAACTATAGCAATAATTTAGGGTTTGTATCGTATACTGATAGAAGTAGCTTTAAAGAGGCATTTCAGAAGGTTATGGACACTCGCTTACAGTTAAACATGACGTCGCCCAAATTATACATACGTATACCTATATAAAGGAAATTAGACAACTGTGTAGATTATAGCACACGCAGTACTATTTTAGTAGGTCTTCTGCACTAGATTGCTGCATGCTGTTAGCTATCCTTGTGATAAATATCGACAATATGGAAAGAAATCTCTACCAGATCAAGTAGATATACAAAAATGATTGCAGTCTATTTTAATATCCATAATTGATATTATCCGATCAATTTAATCTACTGTTCCTCAAAGAACTGTTTCGTGAATTAAGTAAAGATTTTGCATTTAGAAAATATTTTAGTTTTGCAAGTAAGGTCCGTAGTCCATTCATGAATTGAAGTCTGTCTGTTTTGAGCTCATCTCTACAGTTCTTAAATATATTTCGTTAAATCCATTTATGATAATATAATTAACTACAATCAGGCTTGAGTTATTAAACAGAAGACTTCCCTTAAATAGAACATCATTATTTTCTGCAATCAAATCATTCTACATAAGATATCACTACTCTTCTAATAATGTCCAGCACGTTTCGGTTTTGGAAATCTTTACAATTATAATATATCATATAAAATAATTCTTGTACCATAATTAGTCAATTGACTAAGATTAGTCATCAACAATTTCTAATATAGTAGTATGTGATCCTCTACTTTAATGCTAGCATTACGATAATATCTATTCATAGCAACCTGACTATATCAAATATAGCTATCACTGTAATCAAATATAAGATGCATCACTACGCATGGATATTGACTAAAATAGCTAATTATGTCGTTTGTATTTTGCTTTAAAGAAGACCGAATGAGACAAGTTTTGTAGTTATAGTAAGTTATAATGAGAGTTAGTCTTGTATTTTTTATGCTGATTGGTGATATTAATTCATTACTCAAAATATAGTTGGCTATTCTGTTCTTATAAAGTAAAATGGAACGTTAGTATAATAAAAATAGTTCAAGTAAATTGTAATAATTTTTGTGGAATCTTATTCAATTGTGGATAACTGATAGTTAAAGATAACTATGACATAAACATAACATCAATGCATCATAACGCGATATCGGCTCTCGGTTAACCAATGCTATACATCCTTTCGTTTCCTTAACATCGGGTTGGTTGTTACCCAAGACAAATCAGACAATTAGTCTTGGGTAACAACCATCCCGATGTTAAGGAAACGAAAGGATGTATAATTTGATTATTGGTTATTGAGTGCTTGATCAAGCGTAGAAGAGCCTCTTCGTACTTATTTTGAAAAAATTGGCCCTTCCAATATAGTTGTACAATTTAGCAACATTAGGATAATTGTGATCAAGGATTGGTTTTCGAATTTCCAGTGACATTTGAAACATAGAATGAACCTCTTTACTCTTGTTTTGGTTACGCACATAGACAACTCCTACGTCGCAAAATGAATCAGTAACATTAGGATGATTGAGATCAAAGACTGATGTTTGAATTTTCGGTAATTTTTCAAACATAGATGGGACCGAATTAGATAGACCCAAATCAGACTGGTCTTGAATCGAAAGAACCAGTCCTTTTATGCGACATGAGCTCGCAAAATGGGGATGAATTTGATCAAAAATTGACGATCCAATTTTTCTGCGATTTGTCCGTTTCTGCATGAGCCAATTTATATTGGCCTTAAGAAATGTAAATGCGCCCAATTTGATAAAGTGAATCAGCAACAGGTAATCATTTTCACCTAAGCATTTTAGTTTCATTTTAAGCGATTTCTGACAGTCTTATAGTGCTCCATTCCAATCCCCTCATAAACTTTTAATCTCGCCTTTTCTATCTGAACTTTGAGCTATTCTGATTTCATTTTGCACGTTATCTGCAAGTTGTTCCTTCTCCATGAACTCATCAGCTTTCATTCACTCATACTTTAACGTATAAATGTCACAATTATCATGGTAAATATCACATCGAAGTTGATTAAGCTTAACACAGGAATTGGATATCAAATCAATTTCATTTATAGCTTGTGTATAACTAGTTAGAAAGGCTTTCCGCCAAATCGTAAGCATTCTTGCAATTCAGAACCCTCTTGATAGAGAAATTATATATGTATAGTAATATATGTGTTATGAACTCTTTAAAAACGCCCTTTCAATTTCTTAATGTGCGCTACTGTCGTAATGGTGGATCACGTACTGTAGACTTGTATTTATTTACTTTACCCCTTTATTATGTTAACGCTTTTGCAATTTGAAAGTGTGCAATGTATTGTGCGCTAGAGAGAGATAGAACAGTTCTACCGATCCGCTGGCAAAAAAATAGCAAATTAAGTTCATTTTCAAGGATAGAAGCACGAGAGATAATGTCGAACCAGATGATCAAGTTAGTAGTATACAGTATATGAATAAATAAAAAATGGACCATCAACGCAGTGTTCCTAATCTTTATGCTTTCAAAGTGCTGAGTTGAACTCATTCAATTTCAGTCTATAACACATGTAACACTTTGATCTTATATAAGTTATATAAATTCTAGAGTCGAGACCCTATAAGCCACCCTATCACAGACTTGATAGACTAAGGTTAAATATGAGTGCAGGAAGTAGAAAGTCTCATCACTCAATCGCTACAGTATTAATTTCGAACTAAAGTAGCTCAAAATCATGTCATCAACCGTAGAGGGGAAAAGACCTAGATTGTACCCTGTACTGTACAATATGGACGTCGGTATAGGCGAATTGTCAATAGTTCTACGACGTAATGGCTATTTGAATAAGTTAACGTTTGAAAATAGGGAGACATGAGCACTTCTGTGAGGAAAAACAGTTGTTTGTTGCTATTCAATAGTCTGACTGTATGAGTACTGTACTGTACTTATACTTTTTACTTATACTTTTTAGTTTAGTTTACAGTATATCATCTACTTTAGCATAAAGCACCAGTTGGAATTCAGAGTAATATTGGATTTTGATGCAATACACCATATTGTATAATATATAGTGTATTGAGTGTACAGCATATTGAAATTAAAATTATTATAACTAGCAACATCCCGTCGATATAACTGACGGCCTCGCTTCGTTTTATTGAACGTTTAATCCTAGTTCGTTAGGATTGTATGCTTGTATTGTACTATCTATAGAAGTGTATGATTTGTATTGCATATTGCCGGTACATCGACAATATCAAGAAAGATTGCAGAGGTTTCTCCTTTAATTCAATTTATGGCTAGAGGTCTTGATGGTCTGATCTAGTGCGGATCCTATTCTGCAGAATAGGATTTAGAATTGAATTTAAACTCTACTGTATTAATCGATGATATTATAATAGTGATTCTGTAATACATACTGCACTGTAGTATTGATCGATAATAATGATTAATTTAAGCTAACTATGTGTGCCTAACTTAATTTAAAGTAAGGATAGCGTTTCTTATACTTTCACTGAATTTAATCAACAAAAATCCTTTCAACAAGTTAAAGTAGGAAATGAATTCCTAACGTAAGCTAGTTCAAAGTATTGGGCAGCTGTCTTCCACTTTCACCTAATTTTACCAACAAGTTACAACCATGTCTTGACACGAGACATGCGCAGTACGCCAATTTGGAACACACATGTACTCATGTAGTGTACTGTACTGGACGTCTGGACGAACGTACTGTAGTCTGTAGCAGCATTTGTCTTAATTTACAGTGTGCAGTACAGTACCGTACAGTACCGTACTGTAGGCATAGTACTGTACTGTATCAGAATCAGAAAGCCTAAAATACGGACAGTCGGACACATAGGAGACGCCCAACCCCTTTTTAACGTCGATAAGTAAAGTAGGAAAACGGAGATCTTGAAGGCGTTGATGTTAAAGTGTAAACCTGATGATATCCATTTTGATACTAAATTAACACTAAATTAAATACATAACATTCCGGAATTGAAATAGTGCAGGGTAGAAATCATGATTGCTTCACTTATCATAATAGTGTTCATCACATACGCCATTGTATCGTTGTGGCCATGGTTGTATTCCAAGTATAGAATTTATTCAGCTCTTCGTAAAATGCAAGGCCCGAAACCTCACTGGATTACTGGTAATGTTAGTGATTTCGATGGCAGTTTCTCACAATCACTGTTGAAAATAGATAGGCAATACTCACGTAAATATGCGTTATATTATGGTATATGGCATCCAGTACTTGCCATCAATCATCCAGATACAATTAGAATGGCTCTCAAAAAGCCCTTTTCCAAAGATACTGACGCTATGAAGTATGTTCGAGATTGGACTGGTGATGGAATATTAACCTCTAACGGGGCATTATGGGCGAGAAATCGGCGTCTTTTAACACCAGCATTCCATTTCGATGTTCTTCGATCTTATGTTAGCATTTACAACGAATGCACAGATATTCTTATTGAGAAATGGAAAAATAATTGTGGAAAATGTATCGAAATTTTCGACGATATGAGTAGGCTAACATTCGATGTCTTGCTTCGCTGTGCATTTTCAGCCAACTTGAATCTACAAACATCTGAGAAAAGACACCCCTTTCTTTTGGCAACAGATGAAAATTCATATATAGTCGAAGAACGTTTCGTCAACTTAATTTATTCGATCACTTCTACCTTTAAGCTCACTGCCAAAGGTCGTCAATATTTTAAGAATACAGAATTTAGTCGAAAATTTGCTAAAGAGATCTTAATGGACAGAAGGAAACAGATCCAGACGGGCCAAGCTGATACTAGCAATAAAAAGTATCTCGATTTCTTAGATATTATGTTGCAAGCCAAAGATTCATCTGGTAATGGGTTGACAGACGATGAAATAGTAGCAGAGGCTATCACATTTTTATTTGCTGGTCATGATACTACAGCTTCTACCATTTCGTTTGCGCTATTTAGCCTGGCAAAACATCCAGAATATCAACAGAAAATTCGAGAAGAGTATGAACAAGTGTTAAATGGCAAAGACGAACTGTCATGGGGTGATTTAGCAGGATTACAGTTCACTACTATGTGCATTAAAGAGACATTAAGAATACATCCTCCAGTATGTATTTTGGGTCGTGGTTTATGTGAGGATACTGAGATTGATGGTCAGGTGTTTCCTAAAGGTCTTGAATTAGAACTACAATTATATTGCATTCATCATAATCCTGAGTTTTGGCCTGATCCATGGACTTTCAATCCATTGCGATTTACACAAGAAGAAATTAATAAGCGAGATCCCTATACTTTTTTCCCATTTGCACTTGGAAGTAGAAATTGTATTGGGCAAAATTTTGCAATGAATGAAGCCAAGGTTACATTAGCCAAATTAGTCCATCAGTTTGAATTTAGTGAAGCTGAAAATCACCCTCTCGATCATTTAATCTCGTCCGTATTACGTAACGTTGGCGGTACTTGGGTCCAATTGAAGGATAGAAATCCGTAACTGAATACTATAGTTGTAACATTATGATCTTATATAGAAGATGCCTAGTATAGTAATATCCTAATATACGAATACTTATCATATACCGTTTAAGTACTGTATTGTATTACATTCATAATGTACGACATCATGACCACATATAGACGACATGCTATACATATAAAGACAGTATCTCAATCCCATCTAAAACCTATAAATACCCTTGTACGCTAACTCGTTAGTCAGTTCCTACGTTCCTGCTATCTCAAATACCTTATCTATAACAACCATATCATTGTTAGCCTGCAACTTGTATCTCAATAAAATCCTTTATACCTTCTATCATCGTCTACCTTAAAATACTTTACGCTACTTAAAGAAGATATTATTACATAGTGATTGCTGCCAGTGTTACTTTTATCATGCGCGCAGCAGTAACCAACTAGCAAAGCCTAGCAACGCTAGTAGAACAAGATTAGTTCTATACCGAATTACGATGCGAACTGCATTAGGCATAGCATAACATGAACTTTGTCTACAATAATGTACATTTTAGATAGCAATACTAGAATCCATAGATTGCACTTGTTGTATTCTACTCATGAATTTGTAAAGACATGATACCAAGCCAATAATACAATCTATTTTAAAATCGTTTGTTAGTGCTCGATCGATTGGTATGTGAACTTGTGAATATAGCAATATCAGTGTACATGCTATCGGATCTACTAAGAAGAATAAATTAACTTTACTGCCTAACATTAAGCATGAATATTTACTGTAGTTTGCTTTATGATACTTTGATGATATTGTATTTCCTTCGCTCATTTAGTACAGTATACATACTTCAACTTGTTTATCCAGAAGTGAAGCATTTTAACGTTGGTGCTTGACCTTATCGGTTTTATACTTTAGTAAAGTATTTAAAAGGCTAAATAAAATTAGGGGAAGATAACCAACCTGATATTTTGCTATAAATCTGATTTAAATTATATTTAGATGCATAATCTTACTTTAAGCTTATATTTGAATAATAATTTTACTGACCGTGCAAAACAATCGGTGTAAGTTACTACATCGTTCTCATAGCCTAATTAATACCTGTTGCATATTTCAAAATTGACAGAAGAGGTCAATATTTTAAAAGTGTACTGATAAACCATGATCAAAAGATCTGTAGCACGGCAGTTATTTAGCTCGTGCAGTGCAGCATATTAATTTAACAGCCTTCAAATACACGCAGTGCGTCATACGGGCTTTCGAATTTCAGTTAATAACATTATAATAGACAATAACAAGTTTATCCCATTTTCTATGCGTATACCCGCTTATATGATAATTTATACTTGTAAGGTGATTCTTTCGTGCCTAATATGAAGGGATATCAACGATTCAATTCGATAGATCCTACTTTCCTTGCGAAGTTTTGCAAGTAAGTAAATGCCACTGAGTAGAGTACACCTGAAGCGATCTGCCTCCTGTTTGTTTATATAAAATCTGCTAAGAAAATATTTCAATTTGCGATTATTGGATTACTACCAAATTTTTACCCTTAACATGCTCGTATGTTCTTATTTAATCTTTCGGCTGTACCGTTATGTAACTGTTATACCTATTCTTCTAAATATTATTAATTATGTACACCCCCTTCTTCAATCTACTCTTCACCACTTTGACTGCGGAAAGAAAGTTCCACCGTAACGCTATATGAGAATGGATATTATTTTAAGAGAAGATTTTTTCTATGGACTACTAGATAAATTAATACCGTTAGTTTATTACTATGCTCGTAACTTATTTAGAGTTTAGAAATAGTAATGTAAACCTTTCTCATTATTTCGGTTAAATGAAGAGTTTTTACCTTTATTTACTCATGTGGTTTCGCAAATGCAGATAAGTTATATATAAAATAAAATAAAACAATTAATGCATCAAGAAATGGGCAACAATTAGAAAATTGATATCGACATAAGGTGAACAAATAATTAAATAATCGAAATTAATCTAATTTCTGTTTGTGTATCAACTATAGTAATTAGGAACGAAATCCTTACTACGACGTAATAATTTTGTAATTGACTTTACTATGATGAACTCGTAGTTATGATTCATAAAGTCCGTATAAAGAACTCTTTTAATCTTATTGCAAGAAAATCTTACAAAATGAAGATACTAACAACCTTCATCGTATTCGCAGGAACTTTCAAACAGAAAGTTTTTGTTACTGTACCAGACTTTCTAAATATCATGCTCAGTGTAATCCGGTATGAATATATGATTATTAATATGTACAAGGAATTTAGAGATATCGAACAGTATTATTCAGATATTAGGTACAATAAATGGATCGTTATTACTGGCAATATGAGGGATAAGCGAGGTTATGTACTTCCATTAAGCGTCTCGTTCTAAAACGATTTAATACATTACAGAGTCAGCAATAAATATATTTACAATAGATTGATAATGTATTGAAAAGTAGGCGACAGTAACTATAATTTTTGCCATAGAAAATGGTATCATCAACGATTATCTAAACGAAAAATAAGTACCACGTTTTTGCCATTACACGTACATAATCTCTCTTGCGTACCAACGGTAATTCTTTCAAAATGAATCTAACCAAACCTTGTACATTCGCAACATTTCGTATATGTAAAAGAAATTAGTAAGAGAAAGAGACGAAAAGTGGCCGTTTAGTACAAAATAGCGTGCCTTCTATCACTTTTCTACTCATTCTAACGTACGCCACTGCTAAAACCGTATACCACACCCAACAAAAACAACCGAGTAGCAGATTCAGATGACAATCATCGGCGATACTTTCGTTGTATGAATAGAAGTAAAAACTCATAAAACTAATCTTACAACAAGCCGCTTATTATACTTGTGAGGAAGTTGTTAGTCATACTTACAGTATCTCTCCGTAGTTAGTTGGAGTGACTAAGTAGCTAGTAAGTTAGTTGATCACTCATATTAGAAGAGAGTAGGCAGTGGGATTACTCCTGTGAGTGACATTGTGTCTTGATAGATATCTACCTATATAAGTTGGGCCGACTAAACTTTCATGACTTGACTTGTAACTACGAATATTGCTCGTTAGAAGATGATTTCTGAAGTCTTGTACGATCACATCGCGTTGTTCGAATTAGTTGAAATAAAGTAAAAGTAGCTCGACGTTATCAAGTTTATCTGTGTAATCACAGTCTAGAAGGGAAGTTTTAGGCGGAAACTAAACTAGTAGTTGGCAGTAGCAACTTAGAGGAATGGAATACTTTACTTTATCCTTTGTCAGGAGAGTAGTCCGGGACAGCACTATTTCAGATGGATGTTTTAGTTAAAATGACCATCTGTCAGGAAATAATTTTTGTAATGATTGTTGACTTGGTCAAGTTGAGTTTTCAGCAAAGTAATCTCTTTTTCATTTTGCATTTGTATTGATTTCTATACTAATTGCTGTTTTCACACGGTTAACATGTACTTTATGCTTTCCTGTCTAATGTACTGCCATCCAAATACTATATATATTTTTACGATAACAATGCATCCTCGAAATATTTTTAATTCCTGTCACAAACCTCATAACTAGTATATTATGCTTAATGAACTCCTTGTCTACCCTATTAACATAATATCTGTATTTATCTATTATTTTCTGGTTAGATAAGAAAACAGTATTTATTGTATTTCTATGCTTCTATATATATATATATGTATATGTTGAAGCAACCATTGCATGCATTGCTGTTGTGAGTATGAACTTTGCTATATGTGTTTCTCCTTTTCGGTTCTTTGATAAATTTGCTACAATAATTTATTAGTGTAAAGAGCTGTTTTGCGAATGTTTTTTGAGCGATTTAATACCGTATTTTTGAAGGCTCTTTTTCCTATAATTGTTACAAATTAAGATTTATAACATCATCAAAATAGTCGGCCCTCATATTGTCGGTACACTGAAACGACCGTTTCCTGTCCCTTTCCTTCTATTTGATTGTCCCTAATGTAAAGTGATAAAAGATGAAAGATGAACCAGTAGGCTTTTGTTTCAATTTTTGTCAGTGCCGGCATTCTGGTTGTCTGTACACTTTACATTCCTCCAGGTGCACACAAGCAGTCATGCGAGAAGCGGAGTGCATCAAGTAATGCGATACAGCATACGCGTATTCTGTGAAATTTTCGCTAGTTTGGCTAGTATCTATTAATTATTACTGTAGCAGAATAGGTTGCACAGAAAGCAATATCAGGTGCTGGGGGCTTGTCAAGCTAGTATAATATTCAATTAATCGTCAAATCATTAAAGCGATTGTACGCGTGTCACGCTATTAAACCGGATTTTAACTGTCGATTAACTTACAACTAGACTACGATTCCGTGGAGTTTCCACGGATTTCGTTAGTAAATGTAACTATAATTAATTAATATTGTAGTTCCTGACAGCATATTCTCTACTGTACGTCTGCTTAGTATTTATATATATATATATATAATGTCAACCGTAAAAATAAAACGGAATTTACTCTTTTTATTTAGTTCTCCGTCCTTTAACTCAATTTTTTCTTTTTCCACTGAACAGTAGATAGTGCTTCCTTAATATGTAATGATTAACAATAAACAAAAATGGTATTATTTTTTCTAGCTTGGTATTTTCACGAGCACGTCCAAATGAGCATGCTCATCAAAGCGGAAAACTTTGGGCCGGCCTTTGGAATAATTAATTTCTTGCTTTAATTAATAGCGTATAGAGAATTTTTTTATCTCTGTGTTGCAGCCATGGACTAGTAAAGAAACACTTATTTCTTAAGTAGTTTATGGGTGTAGTGCACTATTTTTAATAGTCAGTCAATTCACCTTATTGACGTACACTGTATTATTGTTTGAATGAGTTATGTTAACGTCGTAGCCATGGTATCCAGCTTTGTCGTATCCCTTTAGTAGTGTATGGCTGTACAGAACTGACTACTGGCAGCACTGTATAGATACTTCGAAGAAGATTGGATGGATACGCATAATGATTTATGATTCTAAAGAGACGAGATCCTAAGTGCTGCTGTACTCTTTTCTATTCATATTAATTTAAAATTGACGTTTCTTCGTCAAGTACAAATTCAAAAATATTTGCTATAGCTTATTCCTTAACGGAACAAAGAAAAACTTAATTGTTCTATTATGCACCATTTTCAATACTCATTCGCTACACCTTAGCTCAATTTTGATACCAAGCAATGAGTAGGCTCTATTCCGTTGTCAGGTAGCATAGATGTTGTGCTATTGTCTAATGATATTAAAATATAATATCATAAAGAATAGAAAATAGATGATCGCGCATGATTGCGTTGTGTACTTACGTTTATTATTGACTGTAGAAAAAAAAATTTGAAGCATTTCTTGACGACGATACCCGTGTAATTGTAGCTCCAGTCCTTTGATTGGCACTGATGTATTTCAACATTTTAAAATATCGCTAACGGATGAATTGAAAGTTAGTTTATTTATTACTACTGTTACGGATGCCTAAGATTACTGTAGGCTATCGCTTTATTACAAAATACTTTCCATAGAATATTGGTACAGAAAAACTTATGACCAACTTTGGACTGTAGCCTCAACGATTGGTTCATTCCGTTAGCGTCTAGTTGGCTTAATACGGCATTTGACTACTTCAGTTTACATCTAAGGCTATTCTGATTATTTCTTCAAGAAAGTCCGGCTTCGAGACGTTTCACATACTGTAATAATGGAAAACAATCGAATTAAACTTTCCATTTTGAAGTTGTTAACCAGTATTCTATTACTGATATCATGGAAGGGTAATATGGCTTGTGGAAATAAGCAAATTTGTTCTGGTACTCTACATATTGCAGGCTTATTTCCATTGGATTCATTATGGGGAATAAGACCAAAATTAGCAACCGAATTAGCAATTGATATGATTAACCAGCGATCAGATCTATTAATGAACTATAGTATCAAAATGAGAGTTGCTGATACCAAGGTTAGTACGATAATATCGCAATTAGCCATGAAATTGGCCATTAGACTAATGTCGTCTATAGAATCATAGAATTTGTTATGCTAGCATTTCATCCACCCTATTTACTCCTGATAGAAACTAATCTATAAATACAGAATATATGATAGATCAGTATTATGGCAACACATTAATTACCATTGAATATGATTAAAGTTGTATGTGTATCCACTAGAAAATGGAATGCATGTTATGTTAAAATCAAAGTAATAATTACTGATACGCTTGTTATAATTTTGTCCAATATTTTAAGTTAAATTATAACTTGAAGGACATTAAGGTGCAATAGAATAGCTTACGAGACATCGATTTATCGTATCAGTAGAAGAGAAAAAATTTGTTTATCACGCGATGAAAGATTTACTTTAATATTTAGAACTTCGAGAAAATAGATGATATTGTAAACCTAGACGTATGGTGATCGATTCGTAAACTATGGACATCATAATTAACTTTAATACTCACAGATTTTATATGAGTTATAGAATCGATTACTGTAAAATAACATAAAAAAGTAATTATTTCGATGTTTCTATTTCTGCATCGCCGAGATATCTCAAACTTACGCTAAACCTAATCAATTTTTATTCAGCATAATTAAAATTTATTTATTGTAGTTCTATACACGTAGTATTTTTTAAAGTATACCCTATGATGCCTAGCCATGGAGTGTGTTAATATACGGTATAATGGCTAATACGATCATAAAAGTGCTAAGAAAAATATGAATTTAAATCTGATGCTAGTTTTATTACATCCTATAAACGATGAATTACAATTGTATGTATACAATCATGTCTGCCATTTGTGTGCGTGTTGAAACGATATAGACAAGCCATTAAATAAGTTATGACAGCACTGTAATTGTACCAAAAATTGTTCGCTTATCGTAACAGTCTATGAACCATACTCCTTTTTCAGTCTTCGATTAAAGTTGGTGAAATAGCTATCAAAAAGCTGCTAAATAATTCGAATGCAGAATTAATGCTTCTAGGGCCAGCTTTCTCTAATATAACAAAAGCAATATCAGCGCTAGCAAATAATGCGAACTTGCTTCAGGTAATATAAAAATCAACCATAGAAATTACAATATTGTTTATATCTATCATAAATTATTTCGTAATACTACAACGCAAAATGATATAACTACTTGAGTTTTAAAGCCAAAGTAGTTCCTCTATACGGCAAGTTTTATCGTTCAATTTTTTAAGCCAACTTTAAATTTATGCCAAACTAGAACAGTTGGGATTTTCATTATATCCTTTAACATAGATGTATCCTTCCGATTATAATCAAATAGCGACTTCTGTAATTAGTATCCGTACAGTTTTATTCAAATTTCTACTATAACTATGCTTTGAAATGCAACGGTATTAGGTTTCCTATGCAGCGTCTTCACCGGATTTATCACAACGAAATAAATATCCTGATTTTTATAGAACATCTCTGAGCGCCACTTCTGATAATCCGGTCATCCTGAAACTATTACGTTATTTTAATTGGAATCGCATTGCCATTATGGACGATAATATGGTCGATTCTAATACTGTACGTTATATAGCTATTGCCTGTTGTGTCATTGTTTATAGTCTAGAATAAGAACAACTTGAGAAAATAAGATTTACAATGGCTTTCCTTGACTTCGATTAGGCATCTTTGGTACTGGAAAATTATTTAAAAGTAAATGGTGTTACTGTTAATAAAAGGGCCAGTTTTGGTCAAGATCCAGTTCCTGCTTTGCAAGATATTCAGGTAAGCTATTAAAAAGTCTACTCTAGCCGTTATTTGTGGGATACAATACTTTTATTATTCAAGTAGAATTTCAAGAAAACTCCGGAAAGTACTACGTAAATTTCAAACGATTGATTATGTATGACTTTATTCGTCATTTTTATATCATTTACTGTACATTTTTAAGAATTCATTTACAAGAATTATCGTCGTTAAGTTGTGTTCTGACAGTACCAGAAGATTATTTTGTGCGGTAAGTTTCATTGATACTAAAATGATATGAAATACAAGATAAAATTTGTTGAAGATGATGACATTTTACGGCTATAATTTTGAATATTGAACGTAATGTCGCTTTCTTTTTATATTCGTTTCTTTGTGTAATGATCTGTACTAGGTGATCTAGTAAAAAATAAAATTATTGTGCACATTATGTAATATTTTCCTATAAAGTAATACGAACTTCCTGCTCCGTGACCGTTACATTATGTTATAAAATGCGTGCTGATGAATACAGTATTGGCAATCACGCAAATAATATTAATTCTAAAAATTTATTATATTCTGTTTCTCCAACTATACAAAGATACTAGAATATTTTAAAAATATAAGAGCTTATCAACCTTGCTATGAACTGAACCTATATAATATCCGAAGATCTATTAGCACCTATTTCCTATACGATATTTACGGTCGCTAATCATTTTTTAGACCGTATAAGAATATTCTAAAATTGCTTCTAAGCTTTATTAGGTTAGCACATGATATTAGAATCAAGTAATTCGAAGTAATAGTATGATGCCAAACCCTATTCTAATAAATATGCATACATCATATTGTTGTATCCCGTTATAAACGCATAACTCTTAGTTTATAGCAAATACGATAATGTCGTGAATGATTAATTAGTAGTTTCTTTTGATGTTATTTTTGCCTATTAATCTATAAAGCTTAAAATTTTACAGTAATAGTATAGCGTATTGTATACCTACAAACACAATCATGCCTAATTTCTTTAAGAGTCTATCTGTAATTAAATCATTAGATTACAATTTCAAATTCGCTCGTTAAAACTAAAATGATGTAGCAAGTGTATGAAGTCAACAATAAATCATAGCATATTTTGTAATGTTCCATGAATTTAAATTGCATTCTAAAATATTTTCCATTAATTTATAAGTAATAGTTATGTAATTAAAGTTATAAAATGTAAGAAATATAAATATCTACCATATAAAACGTAAAGCGGTCGTTCATAAATTGCTCCTGCTATCGAACTACATCATTAAATATTTAAATTTAAACTAAGAATAATGAATTATTAACTAATATCATATCGTTGCTAATTATTTTATAGGTTTACAATCTGGGCTTACATAAATTGGAGATGATTTGGATAATATCAAGAAATAGCCAATATCATAATCTATCACCAACCATACAAGATAACCTTAACTGTAGCGAAGGGCAAATTTTAACGGCGTTACAAAATTCGTTTACTGTATCTGATCTACCCTTAAATTATATCCAAAAGAAGTCTATTTCTGGTTTAGTAAGTTGTAATATAGATATTGTAAAATGCACTTCCGAATTCATTCCTTACATTGTCACCTTTATGATAGGCATCAAAATTTCTTTAACTTCTTGGCATACAATGAGTGACTGTGTAATTAATCATCAGAGTCATCGTAGCATAATCTTATTCTATATAGAATCCACAGTCATATACGAGTATACGACTACTAATCTAATTTTGCTAGAAAAGTCACACATTTCATTAGCAATTGATCATGCATCACGTACACTCTTGTTAACGATGAATTTTGTTTTATTTTTCTAAAATACTAAATGTAGACTCCACATCAATATCTCAATATCTCACGTAAAAACTTAAGTTCAGATGGATCGAGTTATGCTGCTAGCTATGCTTTTGATGCAGCATGGGCTATCGCTTTAGCTTTAAATACTACTATTTATGAATTACATCTACGTAGTCCATCCAAATGTATAACAGATTTTCGCTCTGTTAATGACGAATTAGCGGAAATCATTCGAGATTCATTCAGAAAATTATCCTTCACTGGCATTTCGGTAATTTAATTGTTAGATGATCGAATCCGTACTAGTAATATATGAACATCCCAAATAAGTTACTCATAGAACGTGACATCAACAATAAGTGTAATTTTGGTTAAATTTGAAAGTATTCACATAACTGATTCAAGTAACAACATATTCTCGTTTCTTTTTCTAACTTCTGTAGAGAAGCTATTAAATTAGATTAGAATGTGTTGCTCTTTAGACCATCTATACATAAAAAAGAAGTCTTTTCAGTCCATTAGTTTTAACTATCATAATAAACGTCCTCTATTAATAACATTCAATATATTTACATGCTTTTCATGGTATGATAAATTCCTTACGTTAGAATAAGTAAGAAGTTTTTGTGATGGAATTCCTTTTATAATCCATTTATTTTGTGGCACTGACTGCTAATTATGGCATTTTTTATCTAGGGGCCGGTAAGTTTTGACGCCTCTGGCACTAGAAAAGGTTTTATTAGTATTGAACAATTTCAAGGTAAACCATAGAGTCAATTTAAATGAAGGCATTTAACATACATAAAATAAAAATTCATTTCGAGCAATTTATTGCCTAAAGTGAAATGCTCAGTGGAATATCGCTAGCAATTGGATCGGTTCTAATTACTTTACAGCATCACTAATAGATATCAAAGCTTTTTTTTCTCAGTCATGCTACGGTTATTTGTATATGTAGGACAAATCAGTTCCCAAGTTGGAATCTTTCACTTGAATACTAACCATATCACTTGGCTGAATAGTTGGACATTTCCTGGTATGATCAATTTTTTTATATTTTGACTATCACATGCATACAGCAAATCGTTTACTGTTTGCAATAATTCAAACCGAAGAGTTTGTACACTATACCCTACAGTGCTATTTCGCTTATATCAAGTAAAAGATTGCAGAATTAGATTATTGAGTCAATAGTTCACAGACATGATTGAAAAAATTTGTCCGTATCAATCTCGTATAGTTTAACATTGGCACAGTTTCAACAAGGTACCATAAGAAAGAGCTCTCAGTTATCAAATAAAACTAATGAATGAGTTCTTAAACCCTGTGCGATTTATAAAAATATAAACGATTTATTATATTATTGATTGTGACAAATTATAAATATTATCGATGTGTGATTTCAGTTGACTGTAGGACAAAGCAAATCCTATTAACTGATATCGAGTATCAGTCTATATTTGATAAGACACATTCCGTACCTTTAAATGACTATCGAAAATTTCTGAAATATACCATAGTTATTATATAATTAATCTTTAGGCTCTATTCCATATTCGCAAGACCTTATTTATGTTAATTGGGTTTAGGCAAGAGTTACAACAAATATTCAATCCATTTCCAGAGTTATCGCAAAACTTCGCTTCTCATCTATTCCATTTGCATTAGTCTACTGAGGCCATACAATAAATTATGGCCTAATAATGTAATTTATCTCTTTAGTAGTAAAGTAAATATGGAGCATAAGAGCATCAATGATCATTGGTTAATACTAATTATGTTAATAGATAAACATCCGCCTTCCGACGTCTTCATCAATTCAACGATAGTTTTCAACCATACGCGGGCCGTTACACTTACAGCAGAAGTTCTAGCAGGATCTAGTATTGTAATTAACGCTTTATTGGTAGCTTTCTTGTATCGCTGTCAAAATCATAGGTGAATACAAAAAATTATACGAATGATTTTGTTTAGAGTTAATGCGCATTGAGAATACAGATTATAATTAATTATAGTCTTTCATTGATGCTTAACTTATCTAAACTTTAAATTTTCAATTTTTCTAGCTAAATAGCCTTAATCGCATAATCAAATATAGTCCGTGAATGAAATATCATAACAACTTCTTCAGTAATTGTTCTTTTAATTGCATCATTCTAGCGTTACAAGTGGCTTTAGCTCAATTTTAAATTATTTAATTGTTGCTGGCAATATAATACTTTACATCAACATTTTATTGGGCTGCATTCATCGATCGGATGAATCTTACAAGACAATTTGTCAGGCAAGTTATTAAATACTTGATACTTATTAATTATTCAAGATTGAATTCGTATACTTTTAGCTATCAAAAATCTTACGAAACTAATATTATCTACAATATTAAAGATGTAACGAATAGCGAGTTCGTTGCATATAGAAGCTGTCTGTACAACTTTATCTAGAGAAACCTCTCTTTATTTGATAGCTTGCATATCTAGAGACTAATTATGGTTTGCATGTTGAATTTGTTGAAATATTGTAATATTTTTTATAGGCCCGTGCATGGACTCTGATGATCGGCTTTTCAATTGTTTATTCGTCTATATTTGCAAGATTATGGGCCTACCGTAAAATTAATCGATCCTCTCAATCAAAGGCAAGGGTTACAAATTTATGCCATCTCTTCATGAGCCAATTCACAGACTAGTCAATCACTTATCAGAATACTCAAGCTCAGTCGACTTAGTGCTCAAATAATATCAAATTTTTTGCCTTTACATAATATAAACAATTTTTTTCTTTAACAAGATTCCACGTGGAAGAAAATTATTTCAGATCGTCTTTATGAGCGTAATGGTCGATGTGACAGTACTTGCTGCTTGGCAAAATAAAGTACCTCTGCAGTCAGAACTACAAGTTATCAGTATTGAGGTAACATTTACAAATGATTTAATAAAAATTTTTTTAACGTAAAATTTAAGCCTTTTTAAAAATAGAATTCATGCATCTGTTCTTTAAGTGTTAATATGTTTTATTCAGTATTAAGCTTTAGTTTACTTTATTACAGCGATCATTTAATCAAACCCTAGTTTATCAATATCATGTGTGCCGCTCACGCGATTATCAATATTGGTTATATTGCATCTTGGCTTATAAAAGCTTGCACTTCTTTTGGGGTTTATACCTATGTTGGTGTTGCAGAAGCATTTCTAAGAAATTTCTTGGTTCGGCCTATGTTCGCTTTGTCATTGCTGCTAATGTTTTTATTACAATTTCTTCGGCCATTACTTTTGCTATCGTTAAATATTTTCAATTAATAAATCAGAATATCTACTTACCATTAACCTTAATGGTGATCTTAAACAGCAGTATTGTCGCTGGTTTAATCTACATACCTCAAGTAAGTCTACAGTAGCCTATATACTTCGTAAAAATTAATGTATGTATGACTGTAACTCTAAGATTAAGAAACACTTCATTTAAAAACTGATTCTTTCATAGCTCTACTTTGTGTAGTAAATATACAATCACGGATAAGTCTCGATATTTAAGTGAGTTAGTTTACGATAATGAACCTAACTAAACAAGAACGTTGGTGATGTACATTTAGTACATGCGCTATCACATTTTGCCTACAGACCGTTTTGAATAAAATTTAGATTTTTAATAGATTAGAAAATTCATCAATTACTGTAAATTTAAAAATTTGTTAAAATATCGAATCAAATATAGTATGTATGAAATCATTCAAATATTTTTTACATGCGTAGTTAACTATATTCCAATGGACTTTCCTTGCAGATTTTAGATATTTTAAAATTAGGATTAGATCATCATGTTCAACATAGTGAGTATGCCGAAGACGAAGAGGATGGTTCAGATCCATCTCTTAAATCGCCAGAATCCGAACAACACTTTACTGACTCTCCAGCTGCCATGAATATTGTAAGATAACTGTTTTATCTACACAAATGCATAGATTACAGTCATCATTTTGAATATAAATCCTATTTTTTGCATTAAAAATACACATCTACAGTAATACGTTTATTGATAATATCATAACGATCTATCATCTATCATAATATCATCGATCTATCGCCTTTACTAGGCGAATTTACTGAAATTAAGCGATCGCGAAAAGTCATCCAATCAATCCAATGCAAGTATATCTCAACTTAGTAGTCATCATAACTCAGCAGCTAGCAAAATAACTGGTATCATAAATCAGCTTCCTGGTCGTAAACAGCCATTAAAGAAAGAATGTGATTCCCCTAAGCCTACTGCTAGCCATCAGCAACAGCCAACAGTTCGATTTCAAACTAGTGAAGCAGCAGAAGCAAAATTGTACTAAAGTACAATTTTGCAAAGTACAATTTTGCTTCAAATTTGCTACCATCCGTAATGCTGATGAAACTACGCATTATTTTACTATATGCACATTTGAATAGAAATGTTTCTCAGCAGTATATGAAATAAACTCAAGCTTAGGCAGCAGGGATACCAAGCGCATACTACCTATTGAATAATTGATATACTTGCAATTTTTACTTTGAACTTTTTTAGAGCATCTAAGACTTTATCACAAGTTAAAATTTAGTCCAACTGCATTGCTATTAAATTTCGTACTGTTCTTGCTTTTGAATATTGTATTTGTTTCAATTTGCTTACCAACACATTTCCAGTGTAATCATAGTCTATTAATCGTATTTGCTTAGACCAAAATATGGGATACGCGAACTGTTATACTGCTATTTTCGGTCGCATTCCAAAATATTGGATTAAGTGGTTATTTAAAGCTAAATCATATAAGGAAAAAGGTTCTGTCGCCGTTTTGGCATTTTAATCGGAAACGCTTTTAAGTTCATGCCTGCTTACATAGTTATATATGCACAATGGTAAATATTCATGTGATCAGACTAATTAAACATTTATTCAGTCTTGGTAGTAGGCCACATATTTTGATTATCTTTATCGTAAAGAATTAAGTTATTTTGAATATAAAGCCGGGATAATCTTATAACTAATCGGTATATCTTTATATTATTCTAATCACTTGCACCATAACTAATAAAAGAAATACTTTTACTAATCTATCGAAAGCTTACTTTGTTTAACTTTCATTGATTATTTTGATTTTATTCTGTGTTTTTTTCAATTGTCTACCGTCACTAGATCTTTAAAAAACTAATATAGATTAAATGGATTCGAATTTAATCGCATAGCTGTGACAAAATACCCATATTACAGAACATTGAGCTTAAAATTGAACGGGGTAAATATAATTAAGGAGTCATTTGTTACTACTACAATAGAATTAAATAGCAATTTCTGTTGAAGCCATCTGTCACACATTTGTCATTATAATGCCGTGAGTTTAGTTCTTAAGTTAAATTCTTAATTAAGTATTGAATTACTTATATGCATTACTGTAGGCAATGATACTTGCGTAGATTAATGCAATTAGTTGCTCGTGCCCCGGAAATATATGGTAATTCTATGCCCGTGCTTAGCACGTGAATGCGTGATAGTGTTATAAACATTACTAAATAGGTCATGCGCTAAGTTTTATAAGCATATGGGACGAGTAGATCGGCAGTTCTTCTTGTTCATTGTTTGTTGTAAATACAGTTGCGGTTGGTTTTATTGCAACAAAACTAAATTCAGGTTTTAAATCCAGTTAGTCTGATTTGCTGTGGACCCTTAAGAATTGTCTTCACTACAGTCATGATTACGTGTTAGAGTTATTTCGGGCTTAAACAATTCCATTAGACAAGTTAATTATATAAATTTTATGCTATCTGCAGCTCCAAAAAATTTAAATAATGTTTTTGCTTGTATATTTGTAACATCGCATATTTTGATCATCGATTTTAGTGACTGTAATTGTTTATTGAGTGCATCTAAATATTTTTCTTCAGTAGATAACCACCAATAACTTTTTCAGAGCTCTGAAGAACTGAGCAACAATATATCTAGTTAAACGCGAACACAATAAATTATTTTACTGCTATTTCTATATAAATCAGCTTTCTCGGTATTCATAAAGAGAATAAGAATGTCATATTAACCGTTATAGATCAAAGAATTTTGCTGTAATGCTTAAGAATTAACTGAACCAGCAAGATACTTAATGAGAAAATTAATTAATACAAATTAACAACAGTAATATAATATCGTAATTTAGTAATCACCTGACAAGCTTCACTAATTCAATTCTAATGGTAGAAATTTTTCATTTATAATTATTATTATTTTATTGAAACAATATTATTCAGTAATATTCGAAGCTATAATAAAATTCAATCTTTTCTCGATATTTTTAACTCTATAATATTTATACAGTATATTGAGTGATATTCTGAAATAAGGATATACACTGATGAGAATCATGTCTATGCATAAATGTTCATTTTTTGTTTGATGAGTTGAAAATCAATATCTGGATATTCTTTGTTGAAACGTCAATGCCTTTGCAACTTAATAGTAAAGCGAATTCCTATAACTAATGACTTTTAAGTAAGACTTTTGAGTTTGCTCAGGCAATCAGAATATGATAAAGATACAGATCAACAGGAATGTCATTTAAAACAATCATATCTCTTAGAGATTATAGTATTTTAAAATCTATATGATAAATTTTAGCTGTGAGATTATACATCAAGTGAAATGTGGACAGATTACAGCCACTGATAATTTCTTCTTACAAAAAGAAGACAGCTGTGGAACTTTAATTCTTTAGCTATCTAATTTTATACGTATGCCAATAAATCGAGGCTTTCTTATTCAACTCCATTACATATATATTCATACCCATAGTTGCAGCAAATCTACCACCAGACAATTCCAAAAAATATCTATATACGCTTACGGATACAATTCTTATACCTAGATCGACCAGCATTTCTATCGCATGGCAGCTATCATCACATTTAATAATGCATTACATATCTCTATGACAAACACATCTGCAAATTATATTCTTACTGAAGAAAGAAATATCTAGCCAATGGTTAACCTAAACTATTTCATTACGAATCTATACAATATTAGTCAATAATCAAAAGCGCCTGACTCATTATCTAAAATTAATAATCTAAAATAAAGTTGTAATCAATGGATCTTTGTCAAGCTATTATTGGAATCTGCTCTTACAAGCGTCCTATGATTTTTCACGTCATATTTTTGAACAACAGATGTGTGAAATTAGCACTCTAACTTAATATTTTAATTTCATGCTCTAATCTCACAAATCTTAATTGCTGTTTACATTCTAGGATCACAAAAAGTTTCAGAGTCAAATAGAAGCCCGTATACATCTATTACTGGACTACGTTTACATTCTACTGTCGTAAGTATATTATAAAAACTGCAATATTAACAATACTAAACTGTTTCTGTCTATCGGCCGAAACTATTCACTGCTTAAATGAATATGATATAATGAATTAACTCTTGCTTAAATACTTAATACACAACAACAGTTAGCTTGATTTACCAGCCCTAGTAATTATCTATTGAAGATAGAGACAGCCATGTGCATAAGATAAAACATATTCTCCCCGCACGTTGCCATACACCAGTGAACAAGTTCAATATCAAATTATTACCACATTAGGCTTAATGACACTTCAGGAAAAATACGTAAGCATGATAACATGATGAGCAATTTACAGAGCTATCTTATTAGAAGAGATAAAGAAACAATCACAGCACAATCTTAGTAGACACATGAGATACTCTGCTTTCACTAACTCGGAAGACATAAACAAAGAAGTGAAGAGTACAACCAGATCCTTCTACTTATGTTCAATAAGCAATACACAATTATAGACCATATTTATGACTAACGTATTTATGCACAGCACCTTTTCTCAGAACTGAAACAATATCATCATGTAGAGAGAAAAGCATTCATCTGCGGTACAGACAGAATACAAAAATTTTTACATTGTATACATTTTCAGATATGGCAATACATTACAAATATAGACGATGTTTGTGAGTAGAATTTGCATGCAGAATATGCTATCTTAGTACTATAACAACATCAACACATGTATCCGATAATGAAAACAATTTAGATATGTTCACTATTTCAGGCAATATTTCTTATTAAAATTATTCTATCTTTTATTCAAGATCTTTATAAGATCATCATATTATTACTAAAATCAAATAAACATGGGAAAATTATCGCTTAAAGGATGTATAAAAATCATATCTTATCATTTTGCAGCAAAAGTTAAAATTCGATTATCGCCAAAGGAAAATCTATTTAAGCCTATAAAAGTAGGTTGCCTAAACAGTTACATAGGATTGCTTTGTAAAGTAAGATTTTTGAATTAAATAATGAAAATTCATATTGTTTATACGAATAATGGATCCCTGGCAAAAAGTTAAATTGTGGACGCGATGTACAGCTAAATTTGGCATCTTAATTTGATAAATTAGCTCTACGTCACTAAACCTGCCAACAATGACAGACAGTCTTCACATGCATAAGCTCAAACACTTCGACTCTTTTTTGATGAACATTATTTATCGTTAGCCGCCATCCAAAATGAAAGTTAATAATAAATTTATAATTGTATCGGTCATCTATATGATATAAATGAGAAAGCAATGATTCAACTGATTTTAAAATACTTCACCGGAATATTGGCGACATATTAAGGTTTCGATGAGAGTTAAATCTTTCGAAGACGTCGCAGAGTGTCCTGTTGTGGAAAATTTTTCCTTCGCAACTGTCAAAAAAAGTCTATATACTATTTCCTTTTGCATGTTTACAAATATTATTAACAAAATCGAGTAATTTAAAAGTATAGAAAATATTGATAGGAATTCGTATTACCTTTTTCAGGCTAGGCCAAACGAAAACAAGCATTGTAATTCGTCATTAAAATTATGTTTGCGTCATCGGCTCCGTGATAGAATAGAAACAAAGTGTTAATTTTCTTATTATCCTACTCTTAGACTATCAAGCCTTGACTCTATCCAAGTTAGCCTTCCGCTATTATTACTAATTGATTGACGTGTTTGCTAAAGGCAGTCATGTAGCACTAGCTCTTAACACAAGGGAGTTGTTATTAAATAAAAGAGTTATGCAGCTACATCAATTTTTGTTCTAAATTTAATACTGGTACTTTCAAATCTCAGTTGGGTATTTTCGATCGCCTTTTGTAGCATAATTACGCCCTAGTTCTAGATCGCAGTAAATAAATTATAAAATTGTCTTAGGAAAATCTTAGTTATTTCTCATTACTTCACCACATCGTCCTCCATTGAGATCAAAGTTTTATCAGTTATAAAATATTTAATAGTTGTACAATTTAAAGTAAGTCGTAAGTAATACTTATTCATTTAGCATAAAGGTACTTTATTCATAGACAAATATTCTTTCATTTTAATTTAAGATTACAATAGATAAGTATGTAAACAAAAAAAGTCCTTATAATTAATGCTATTGTCGCATTATCTTGATCTATTAATGCATGGCATTGATTTGTGAGAAGAGAATGCCAGTATTTGTTAACATCTGAGTCCATAATATTTATATGACAAATAAATGTTACATCAGTTAGCAGTATAAATTGAAAGCGTTAAAGATTGCTAAAATTAGTTTCACCATCATTTTTGGATGGTTGGCAGATATCATTTTAATATATACTGGTATGGCGAAATTGACAATTTTAATTTGCTTAATTAGCTTCGTTTACGTTGCAACAGGTAAAAATTACTCAATCAACAATCATTAATGTAGCCTTAGGGCTCTATCAAACTAGAAATATCTATAAATCTTCATAATTTGTTGCTATTGATCCTAAAATGATATTAATAATTGTTTCATAATCTAACTTGCGGATTGATCTCTTTACTAACCCATAGGAATAAAATTGACGATCGTGAGATCTAATTTCGCTTCAATACAATTAATCCTAGAGAATCTAATTCCTTCTATCTAGAACTTATAGTCTATATTCCAATCTCACTTGAGTATTTACTATAAATTTTTTTGTTCATTGGCAGTCACTATTGACTACAATAATTTAATGTAATGGACGTAAAGTATAGCAAAAGATATTTACTAAATTTTTGCTGAAAAGTTATAAATTGAAAAATAATAACTTCGATATTGCTCATATATATTCTAAACGATTTCTTATTTTATTTTGATATTCGCGGCACTTTATACAAAATCGACTCAAAGATATAGATTAATTCTAGTTGTTGTCATATTTCTATTTTGCTACCGTAACTACTCTTACAAGGGTTAATTGCTATCTATAATCTTACTGCAGGTGGCATCTCGAACAAAGATGTATGTAATCAATGCCATGCTAGTGCATCATGTCGTGAATTAGGCGACCGCTGGTTTTGCAAATGTAATACAGGATTTACAGGAAATGGCTATAAATGTACAGATATCGATGAATGCGTAGACAAACCTTGCGATTCTAATGCTGTTTGCCTAAATAAGCCTGGATCATACCTGTGCAAGTGCAAGGCTGGCTATGAAGGTAGTGGGAAAGTTTGCAAAGGTAAATCTAAACGTAAAGTAATTATTTTTATACAAAGTAAATAATTAACCATTTGAAATTGTATGATATGTTAATAATAACTCTAGTTGTTATAATTTATTTACGGATTAATAACTAATACACAATAATATTGAAAAATAATGATCGTGAATTAGATTCACTTACCAACTGTATTTTCACGATTCGTATACCTATTATGTATTGCTATCATGAAGTGTTATTCGAACTGATACAAATCCTGCCATTATGTCATCTAGATATTGATGAATGCGCCAGTAATGTTCATCGTTGCAGTAGCAACACACAGAAATGTGTCAATGCTAAGGGGTCTTATAAATGTGTTTGTAAGACAGGCTTTAAAAGCAGTGGTGATCAGTGCAAGGGTAAGGAATTTTACCCGATGATAAAAGTATAAATATCGTATCTAGTTAAAACAACAATCCTATTAAGCCTTCCGTAAATAGTATATCTGCTACAAAAGATCATTTCCTATGTTATATAATCTTAGTAACTTAAAAATTGCCACTACTACACCTACGTGAATTTTTACATGTAAATTCTGTAATTAATTCTGATCATGTAATTTAAAACTAATTTTATATATTTATAAGACGTGAACGAGTGTTTGCAGCAAAGCAACCAGTGCAATAAGAAGAAAAGTGTTTGCCAAAATACTTTCGGATCTTATAAGTGCATTTGCAGACATGGATATAAATCAGGAGCCGACAGCAGCTGTGTCGGTAATTAAATTTTACTTATCTGGTCTAATTAATCTGATACCGATATTGATAAATATTACTAATTTTAATAATATCATAGGCAGTATCAGAATACGAAGTATACATATATTTAACGTCACAAGAATTTTTTCTTTTCATTTCAAATTATTCAATTTTAATTTCTTAATTTTTTGATATTCTTTTAGATATTAATGAGTGTAAAAAAAATCACACTTGCATCAACAAGGCAACTTGTATCAATACGGAAGGTTCGTATAAATGCAAATGCAAGAATGGATACAAGGGAAATGGACTTTCCTGTGCTAGTAAGTCATAGCAATCGGTAACTGACAAATAAACAAGTACAAGTTAGGTTATTGCCCAAATGAATGTTGCTAAGCTTGGATTTTCATTATAATATTTAATAACCAACATTTTAATTCCTCAATTTAAAAGATATTGATGAATGCTCGAATAAAGCACACAACTGTGATATCAATGCGTCTTGTAGAGATACTCTAGGCTCGTTTGAATGTAGCTGCTATGATGGCTATCATGGTAATGGTACCAGTTGCGAAGGTTAGATCATAATTTAGGAGATTTGTTAAAATAAATGCTCAGTATCGTATCCGACTCGATGCGTTGCTAGTACATGCTAAAACATAAATATTGCATATTACAAAACATCAATATAACTTAAATATCAGCATTATATCCAATTATTTATCAAGCTTAGAAATACTATAGTTCCAAAAATTTAGTATATACAGCCCAATTGATATCTTATACCCAACATTATACTGCCTTATAGCCAAAAAAAAGGTGTTATAAGCTGTCTTAGGCCTTAATTCTTTTACTACTGCACTATTTATGCGTAAATTACTTTGAAAGTTATTGGATTTCAGTCCTTTCTGTACTCATTATTCTTAGGCTACAATATTTCAATATAGTAGATACGCAAATTTTAGAGCGAATTCGAGCAGTTTTTTCATTTTGTTTGAATAGATAAGCTTCGCTAAGTACATAATTAATCATTAATAACCTGAAATTAGATATTGATGAATGCGAGTCTAAAATGGCGCAATGTGAGCGGAATACAAAGTGCGTCAATACTATTGGTTCTTATAAATGCCCATGCAAGTCCGGTTTTGTGGCGAATGAAGATAAATGTCAAGGTTAACATTTCATCTATTGCAGTACTGCATACTTCTCAAGGGCCATAGACTAAATATGTTTTAAAATCTCTGCATTATATTTGATTTCATTGCTATGAATTCTATATTTGCTATGTAATAGAATTGAAAAATGAGTGTAAAACAGGACATAAATGTGATAAAATGGCGATTTGTACTGATACACCTCTATCGTATACCTGCAAATGTAAAACTGGATATATCGGAAATGGCAAAACATGTAGCGGTAAGTGATTAGTAACGCGTTGTAATTAACTCAATGCAGTATATGCTACTGTTTTAATTAGACATTGTGTTGTGAATTGATAAACAAATATATTAATAGCTCTAATAGTGCCTTCTCTAAGTACTTTTCATTATCATTAATTTCCATTATGTTAGACATTGATGAATGCCAGATACGTTCTCATAAGTGTCATAGTCACGCAAAGTGTACCAATTCACCTGGATCTTATACATGTCAATGTAAACTAGGATTTACTGGCGATGGTATCCTATGCAACGGTAAAAATTTCTAGGTTATCGCTATATAAGTCGATAAATTCGCTACTAATGCTGTTAAATGATCCAATTTTTACATTTAAAAACAACTTCGTCACTTCATAACTGTGGTAGACATCGATGAATGCAAAAAGTCTAAATCCTGCGATAAGAACGCTCGTTGCACAAATAATTTGGGCAGTTACACCTGCACGTGCAAGTCTGGTTATCAAGGAAACGGCAAAAAATGTGAAAGTAACTAGAAAATTGATCATAAACTATCAGTCCTATATCAGCATCATATGTGGATAGAAAATTTGTTCTATTGCAACCAGAATCTTATGAAAAATATAATTTTTGAACATTTATAATTGACCACAGCATTTTTTCAATAATTCATCATTCTTGCTCAATCTTAATGTTGTACAAATCTCATAAATAGAAATACCACTTTCTTGCGATGAAATTAAGAAAGAAACTAAAACTAAAGCGAATGGCATGTATTTGGTGGATCCGGATGGTCCGGGATCTATAAAACCGTTTAAAATCTTTTGTGACATGTCTCACTACTCCGGTGGTGTTGCTATTGTGTCGCATAATCGATTAACAGGAACGGTTAGTACACAGTGAAGCTTTCAAAGATAATTATAACTAAATCCGAATTGATAAATATCGCTATATGCCTATCAGCATAGCCTCTACCGTACTTTATTTTCTTAATTATATTTCGCAACAAATGCGTCAATATGTACCTTTCATGGCAATAAATATTACTGTAAATGCCTTAATGGCAACGCGTAAAATCATGTATAACAATAGTACATATATATATATATATATATATATATATATACTGCATATAAACTACCATGAAAGCTGTAAATATGCTTACGTTGAATTCCAATGCTTACTATTAACTCGCTAAGGTTTAGTTTTAATAATGACAATCATGATCTATATAATAACTTCAATTTAACTAGCTATATTCCCCATCATTTTTACCATATGAAGATAACAACTTTTTTGCATACCAGTATACCCACACGATACTTAAAAAGGCCAAATTACGTAGGCATTGAAAACATTAACTAAAATCTTAATTTAAATTAAACTGATTTACTCATTTAGGTAAAAGGAAACAGATATGATGGTGCTGGATCATACAATGCGGAAGTGCAATATTTTGGTGCTACACTAGAACAAATAATTTCTTATGTTAATCATTCTCAGTTTTGCTATCAATACATCTCGTATAGCTGTAAGGAGTCTAGATTGATGAACAAGAATAGCCAAAATTCTGGTTGGTGGGTAGACAGAAACGGAAAGAAAGTAAACTTTTGGGGTGGTGTAGCTGGCAAAACTCAAGGTTGCGCCTGCAGTATCACTGGTAAGATCATTTCATAAGTCTATCTTATAATAAAATTGCCGCTAAGATAAAAGTAAAATTTGTTGCAGTATTCAAATTTATACTCTAAATACAATTAATAAATAAGGCATAAAAATGGAAGATTTACCTTTATTGTTGTATACTGTATCAAATTCACTCCTCGTTTTCGCGTCAGTATAGATCATATTTTTACTACTTAATTAACAACCTAAAAACTTTCCAGCAGTAGTTACTTGTGCTTACAAGCGAAGTGTCATAGTTTTCCATTCATTTCTGCCCTTGATAAATTTCCTTACTGAAAACTTTTAATTACTATCGTTTGTGTAAGCAACGTATTTATCAATAAATCCATAAATGCCCTGGTAGATCTGCGCTCCAGCTTTCAACAGCAGACAATCTTCAATGCAAGAATAGCAAAGCTTTTAATTAGTGCTGGCATACGCGTATATGCTGAAGTTTTGTGTTGTTCATTATTTAGGTACATGTCGAAATCAAGACACAAGCTGCAATTGTGATGGAAGCAGCGGTAACGGATTTGATGGTGGCAAATTAGTTCATAAAGATTTGTTACCAGTTAGTGAATTAAAGTTTGGCGATGCAAAACCTCCTAAAGAGGGAAAGTTTACCTTAGGAAAATTACATTGCGCTATGGGCCAAATTGGTTAGTTTAAAATATCATCGATAATTTTTTAACAGAAATTTTTGAAGCGATAAATACATACTTAATTATTTGAGTCTAATTTTGATAAAAAACCTAATAAACAAAAACCAATCTGATCTTATTTTATCATTTAGATATTCCAAGAGATTGCGACGCTATTAAAAAGGAAGATAAAAAGTCCATCACTGGATCATATATAATTGATCCCGATGGTAAGTTTTTTAAGCATTGTAACCGCCGCTTGTAATGTACAATGAAAACTTTTTAAGTTGGCTGTTCTAATTTTGCCTAATTGCTCGTATTTTACGTAAACTATTTTACTTTTTGCATAAAGACATAAATTGCTGATTTATAATTTAAGTGCCCTGAAATATTTGTTATGAATATAAAGACTCTAGAGGATCTTAAATAACCTGTATGCAGCCTAGTATAATGATTTTATTCATAATAGAAAAACTTGATATTTTTATTCCAGGCCCTGGTGGTGCCCAGCCATTTACTGCTTATTGTGATTTCAATACCGAAAACGATATTGGCATTACGGTGATTAATCATGACCT